TTCGCTAAACTGAACATCCAGTCAGAGTCTCACTCTCACCGATGGCCCAGACGCAAACTGCCGCAGACACAAGGAACACACCAAACCAACTAGCCCGACAGACGCTCGCCGACGACCGACCGTCAGCTTGGTCTGTCCCGGCCTTAAGAAACTAGGCTTGTGTTAATGTTGTAATCACAGAGAAAAGACTCCCAAAACCATTGTGAGCCTAAGGTTATCATAAACTAGTTGTGCCAAAGGTCTCTCCAGTCTATTCTGGCTCACAATGCTTTTTGGAAATGCGGCCAACTGGCATAAAATTAGCTTGATGTTGGACATTTGATATTCACAAAGTTTAGGGACCATCTCAAAAGTTACATACAACATTGGTATACATGTTTTGGTATACACGTTAGATTTTTGATAAGCCTGTGTATAAACTGTCAAATCATATCTAAATATGGCTAAATATACCTGACTCATAGATGAACAATGTACAGTTGGTTTTATGACCAAGTCATTCTCTCCAAATTCTATTAAAGTTAGAAACATGTATACCAATGTTGAAATTATCTGTAGAGATGGTCCCTAAACATGTGATATAAAGCCATCTTTAATGTCAACTGCCAGTGGGCTGCATTTCCAAAAAGCATTGTGACCCTGAGTAGACTGTAGAGATTTTTGGAGCAACTTCGCAACAAATTTTCCACACAATTCTTTTGGGAGTCAAGATTTTATCGTTGATTACAAAATGAATACAAGTGAAAATGAATACAAAACTATCCAAGTGTCATGTCTTGGGTATTCTTTAGTCTTTGATGCTACAAAGGCTGCATATCTCAGCTGCTACATCATCAAAATTTGCTGAAGGCCATAAATAAAAATCCTTTATTCAGCTGCATTTGAAGGATTCATGGGATGTATCCTTCGCAACCTTCAATCACCCACAATTATTTGTACACATTCACAAAATTAAACTGACGAAAAACGAGTCAGAATTGAACTTATCTCAATTTATTATGAAATTTAAGACAAAAATAATGTTAGATTACTCACTTAAATCTAAACTGCCAATAACAAGCCACTGGGAGACTGTTGACAGCTGTGATTCATTGTATTGCATTAATAGAAAGCCAAATAATATAAAGATTTTTTTAGTGATTTGTGTGATTTGTTTGTTTGTGAGTATTTTTTCCAAAATTAAGTTATATTACTATTTTGGTGCCAAGATGGTAAGGTTGGAAACATGTGTGACATAGACACACTTACTAGACTGTCTCATTTTAGTGGTTAATGCCGAGGAGGACTTGAACCTACAAGCCTCCCAATAACTGAACTAGGATTGACGCAGCATCGGTAGGATGCAGCTTTCCATTTGAGGAGCACCCAACCTAGAATCTCATCAACAATGTTGATGGTTTCGGGCTTAACGACGGAACTGTCAGGATAAGTAGCTCAATTCAGTTGCTATAAAATAATTTGACATAATAATGTGAATCGGGAAAAAAAATGGTTTGGAGCTTTGCAGTTGATCTCACACATCCCACAGCAAACTATGATCTCTATCGTTAGTTTGATCTGGCGCTTCTGTGTAAGCTCTCAACCAGTGATTCACCGGAGCCTCCCTCATTTCCTCATTCAAATAAATAAATGAATATATTTGGAAATAAATACATATGGTAATAAATATATAAAAAAACAAACACATGAATTTATATATTTAAATATAAATAAAAAGTTGATTTATTTTACTGCTATTTATTTATTTATCATTTCTGCAGGTTTGGTCCTCCATACAGTAGCACATTAATGTTTTTTTTTCTTTTACATGAAAGTCTCAGTGATTAGAGCTCAAGTGAAATTGGCTGTAGCAAAAAGTGTCATCATAAAGGACGTCTATGCAAACATGGATGAGTCTATGTCTCTATGGCCATCTTATATGCAAAAGGTGCTCATTCGTAAAGCAAAACATGTCGTGACTCTGATGTAATTGCTGAGATTCTTTTAGAGCTGTCAGATTAGGATGTGAGTGCAGTGGAGCATAAAAAATTCAATTTGCAGTTTTTCTCACCTGGTGGGTCACGGAGTGTGCAGTCAAAGAAACAAGATAATTCTATGACTTTCTGATGTGAGACCTTTATTTTGAACGTCGAGCGTGAAAGCAGTTGACAGTTCAGTCAGAGGGCAGTTAAAGTAAAGAGTGGGAAAGAAAACCGTGTTGTTTACAAATAGCTATGAATTATTGGGTATCTTTAAAAGGACATATATATATATATATATATATATACACACACACACACACACATTTATATAAAACATTTATATATATATAAGAAAACCCTTTCATCCACTGCACTTTTATTTTCGGATTTCATGACAGGAAGAGCAAGACTCCTGTTATTTTTAACACACCTGGCATTTATTTATTTTTCCCTCTCGCTTGTCTAACTCACTCCAAATGAAAGTAGACAAAGGACTTGTTAACCATTATGCTGATAACAGCTTTTCACTTACCGAAGAATATCGAGAAAAAAGGAGGGGGTAAAACAAATAACAATAACCGCAACAAAAAATGAACACCATAACAATGTCACAGTTTTTCTAATTCATTCTCGTCCATTCTTCTCTCTTTCCTCTCCTCCTTTCCATTCTTCCCTATCAAATCAGCACTTATTCCATCTCATTGTATGTTTATGCAGATCAGGATATACATATTCAGATTGGCGCCTGGATCGGATTCAACAGCAGAAACAATAAATACCTCCTCCATCTCAACCTCTTTTTCACTGCTGTCTGCTCTGGCATGTTCACTTTATCTTTCTATAAAAGTCTCTCTGAGCCTCCAACAGCCCCAATTTATTCATCACTCCATTGGCTGCCTTATGCATATGCATGCCCCCCTTTCACCCAATCATGTAAGGCGCTCACCTGTCAGATAAGCTCATTGAAAGAATATTCCTTGCTGTTTCTAAATAGAGTGTTAGTTGAATATTCATTGCTCATCTTTTGGTGAAAAAGATCTCAGGACAGAGAATAATATTTGTGTTTTTGGATCAAAGAGCAGGGATGTTAAGGAGGCTGAGGAAGTTTAAGCCTACTAACCTTCTGAAAACATTGGAAACAGAGTCGTAATGCTCCGATAAAATGCCACTGACTTGACAAGACATGCTGAGATCCAACTTGCTATTGTTTGAATGAATGTGTATAGAAACCTTTAGAACTCACTTTTACACATTTTTTAATCTGTCCTCCCACTTACTGAGACATAGAAAGAAAAAATCGTACTAAATAGGTAAAATGACAACTTTAGAGCGTCTATAACAGGGTTGGTGTGTCGCTAAAGGTTGCATTTAAACTTCTGCTGTGACACACGGCGTCTGTTGATGAAAATGTCACATAGACAGTTCCAATAGTGAATTTTGGATGTATTTCTGATTTCAAACTGCCTCGAAAGCCTGTTCACCCCAAGAATGATAACATAAAGATAACTATAACCATAAAGTTAAAGTAACCAAAAATCCCTTTAACTCTAGATAATAGCAAAGTATAGCAATAATGACACAGAAGAACAACATTGGAACTTTCAGAGCGATCGTTTCCAGCTGATGAGTGATTAAAACACTGGGTCTCATTCACTAACCATGCGTAGACACAAATTTGTGTGTGAACGCTGCATAGGAATATACTTATAAAGACTTATTCTTAAAAACACTAAGAGAATGCCAAAGTTCCTAAAACAACTATAACAACACAGAGAAACGATATCTTTGGAATAACTTTCAGAGAGTTAAAAAAAAAAAAACTATAAAAAACATTCAGTCTGATTCACTAACTGTGCATACGCACATATTGGTGTATGAAAACTATGTACTGATATTTTCACAAAGAAATCATGTTTCATTCAATAACTTTTCATTCTAAAATCTGTTCAAAATCTACAGAAAATTTGAATGAACAACTGAAACCACACATACATCGCTTGAGGATCTTGCTGTGTGTGCTTTCAGTCAAGAACTTGTTTTTTGAGAGGCTTTAGAGAAAAAAGGTTGTTCGAAAACCCCCTATGTAGATATGGTTTGGGTGTTTTATGCTATATAAACTTGTACACAGTCACTCATTTAGAACGCTCAAAATTCATTAACATTAAGAAAAAATTTATGTGAACATGCATGCGTTGTGAATTAGGTGGACATTATTTGAGAAGTTCTTCTGTGTATATAAATAATTCCACACAATTGAGAAAAATGTGAATGAGACCTATTGTCAGCCAATCAAAATCCATTTGACTTCAAAGAGCGAGCTGTAAGAATATGACTGCAGCAGTGTACTTAAAATAAGCAAAGCATTTTTGTCCATTGGTGTGGATCCTAATATACAGTAGTTATCATTAAAGTGAAGTTCATTTTTGGTTACTCAGATATGATGATGTTTTTCAATTGTATTGCTGTATTGGCATATGTACAGTAATTTATACTTGTAGCTGTACTTGACAACAAATAACTGCCCAGAGGCATTAAAAAATGGCCATGGTAGTGGACTGACTTGCTTTTAAAAAGACCTGGTGTTATACGAGACAAAAAAATGAGCTGACTGCAGTATTTAATTCAATGATATGCTTGAATTCAAATCCAAACTCTTGTTCTTTAGGGCAGTGGTTCCCAACCCTGGTCCTGGAGAGCACCCCAAAACAGCACATTTTGCATGTCTCCTTTCTCTGACACACCAGTTTCAGGTCTTGGAGTCTCTACTAATGAGCTGATTACCTGAATCAGGTGTGTTTGATTAAGGAGACATGCAAAATGTGCAGTGTTGGGGTGCCTCCAGGACCAGGGTTGGGAACCACTGCTTTAGGGCATTCCAGTAAAATAATACTTAAAAATCTGTCAGAACCTGCATGTATAGTAGCACAAGAGGAACACCAATTGTCATACCCAGCACGGAGAGGTACGCTTTGGCCTCTGTGCTCTTTTGACTGCTGTTTCTGAGCGCGGCCTCACACACGTACAGACCCACGTCCGCTGAGGTAGGTTTACTGATGACCAGCCTGCGACCAAACGAGTCCACTCCTGCTGTTAGTCTCACCCCATTACGCTTCCAGAACACCTGCAGCCTGTCAAGAGATCTGCTCCGCACACACACACAAAACACAACACATTAACTGCCATACTGAAATTAATACTCAAGCCAAGAATTATGAAGAGCACAGCAATTAGTTATGTGTTAAATATTCGAGAAAAATACATACACTACATGGTATGCGAAGACTAATTTTTATGTTTAAAGGCAACTTTTGAGGGTTTTAGCCCATACTTACTTAGTGAGGTCACATTTATTTGATCAAAAATACAATAAAAACAACTTATTACAACTGAAACTAACAGTCTTCTATTTTATTATTTTATAAAATGTAATTTATTCCTGTGATGGCAAAGCAGCAATAAACTGACAAAATTACAGCAAAAATATTTATGTTACAAAAGATTTCTATTTCAATAAACGTTCTTTAAATTCACTAAAGAATTCTGAAAAAAATGTATCAGAGTTTCCACATAAATATTAAGCAGCACAACTGTTTTCAACATTGAAATTAATAAGAAATGTTTCCTGAGCAGCAAATCAGCATGTTAGAATGGTTTCTGATGGGTCATGTGACACTGAAGACTGGAGTAATGATGCTGAAAATTTTGCTTTGATCACAAGAATAAATTGCATTTTAAAATACTGTATATTCAAATAGAAAACAATTCAAAATGCAATAATATTTCACAATATTAAATTTTTTTGTTTATTGTATCAAATAAATACAGAAAGAAAAATCTTATAAACATTTAAATGTTAGTGCTAGTGTACTTCACTATTAGCAGCTAAAAATATTTAAAATTGACAGTCTCTTGCAGGAAAACAAATGTAAAAAATTATGACTCATGCATTACATCATTTTATGGGGTCAGCAGTTTTGAAATAAAATTCTCAGCCAGCTTTACTGTATACACGTCTATATACTTTTGTCCACATAGTGTATTTGACAAAATTGAAAAGAAGAATCTGGTTTAATTAAGTTGAAACAAAGTCAAAGTTTAACAGCAAGAAAATGTGAAATGACAGATATAATCACAATTCTGACTGACTGGCTGACACTAAAATGACATCACCAATGTTACAGATAATGAAAACAATATAACGATTACAAACATCTGTGAAATTATACAAGAACCCTGTTATTAACGGAACCCAGGCAGTGAGTCACTGCCATCGAGGGCAACCCACCTCGCATTAGCGATGCACTCAAGAGTAGCCTCACTCGCCCCAGCAACCACTGATGTGTTCTTAGGTGCAATCACTATCACCGGGGCAACCAATTCAGCCGGGGCAATAACGTCTGAGATGGAGAAAGGCAAAAGAACGGTAAAAAAAAAAA